GAATCGTTGCCCCGCCCCCACCCCCCCTCCTCCCTCGGTGAAACTGACTGTGGTCCACCAGAGCTCACAGCCACTGGTTGTGTTGTCCACTTTACCTCTACCTACAGCTGCTTTCAGAGCTGATCAAACTGCCATAAAATGCAAAAACAGACACAACGTATATCCACTGCCCTCTCTGCAGAGCATTTACCATCGCAGAGTGCGTAGGAAAGCTGCCTCAAAGATCCCGCCCACCCCCAGCACGGACTGTTCACTTCCCTACCCTCTGGCCGGAGGTTCAGAAGTGTGAAATATAGGACCTCTAGACTGAAAAACTCTTTCTTTCCCTCTGCCATCAGACTCCTAAACACCTGAGGAGTTTACTACCAGGAAATACGTCATGTACTGTCGACCTGTACTGTTTGCATTCTCAGTTTGCACATGCATAATTGCACGTTGACTGTTGACTGCTGCACATGCTGCTCCCATGCAGCATACATTCTCTTATTATATTCTTATATATTTTTATTTTACTGCTGCATTTGCTGCTTAAAGTGCCTTAGATTTTGTGTTACTTATTTATCTACTTTATATTTCATTTGTATTTTGTGGCATTCATGTGGACGGCAAAGTAAGAATTTCATTGTACAGAGAAACACGTTTCCTAACTGTGCATATGACAAACACTTTGAACTTGAACTAATAACTAAATTGACCAGGGATGGCCCTGAACTAACAAATCAGAAATGTTGGTGTTATCCTTGACTCAGAACTGAACTTTAAGACTCATGTCGAGCTTGTCATTAAGTCAGCTTTGTATCATCTTAAAAACATAACTGGAGTTCAAATATTTCTCTTTCAGAGTGAAACAAAGAGAGTAATACCTTTTTTTTTTTTCCAGTGGATCGGACTATTGTAATGCTCTCCTATCTGGTTAGCAGTCAGTTACAGTTGGTTCAAAACTGTGCTGCCTGAGTTTGGCTTAATTTAATTGGTTTATTATTATTATTGTGATATCTTATTTATTATTGGTTTAATTCAGTATATTCATATTTTAAAATGTTGATTTCTGTTTGTCATTTTTTTAAACTGTTAAGCACTTTGAATTGCTAAGATGTGTGAAAGGTGTTATAAGTAACACTTAATTGATTGATTCATTGACTGTGCACATAGAAGAAATTTGCACAACCCAAATTCAACTTAACTTGAAAGTGCCCACCATTTAAAATCAGCCTCTAGCAGAGCAGCAGGGGAATGGAGCTAGAGGCCTCAAGCACAGAATACACAATCACACCCTGGACACCCACGGCATGGCCTATGGGGGATATGAGTTCCTACTGTACCTGAATGGAGGATAAATGTAGGTTGTTTCTGAGTCTGACTCCAGACATGCAGTCACACTGAGCATTTCTTTCCACTTAGCTGGTTGCCATGGGCAACAACATTCAATGGGCAAGCAACTAAAATGACTCGTCTCTGCAGACTCACTGAGACATTGGTAATAGTCTAATGACTAATCGTTATCACACAGAGGTCAGTCCTATAGATGTAGCATCTTGACCCTCTCAGGCTCCAAACAAATAGCTCAGCCTGGTCAATGCAGCCATAGCTAATTGCACTGTTCACCTGTAGTGAGCTGCAAACACACCAGCCAGGCTTAGCTTTTGGTTGCAGTGTGATGCAGCCTATTGAAGTCAGGAGACACTCACATGAGGTAACAACTTCAATGATGGCAGTCATTTCCACAGTGCTCATTATTGCTTGTTCTTTGTAAATACTTAAAAGAACTGTTGTGGAAAGTTGCTGTTTAAATCACTGTACTGCAGTGTCGCAGCTGTCAACACTGTTGCCTCATATCAAGATACTTCAGTTGAATGTTCTCTTGGCGCTATGTTTGTGTGGGATTCCTCTGCATTTTCCAGTTTCCTCTCACAGTCCAAAAATATGCAGGTTAGATTAACTGGTGACTATATTGCCCATACAGTAGGTGGGAATGTGAATGTTGTCTGTCTCTGTGTGTCAGCCTTGGGATAGAGTGGTGGCTTTCCCAGGGTCTACCCTTCATGTTACCCAGGGCTCAGCCCCCTTGGAGAGCTCAGCTTGTGTGAATTAGAACAAAGGCACTGACATGTGCAGTTCTTTTAAAGTAGTGTGGGTGTCTGTGTTTGTTCCTTCCCTCAGTTACTTCATCCTGAACAAGCGAACAGGTTTCCTGATCATCAAGGAGAATGCTCCACCTGGCACCTATCAATTCCAGGTTCGTGTTTCTGATGAGGTTTGGCCAGATGCTATTTCCACTGTCACTGTGCATGTGAGGGAGCTGCGAGACGAGGCCATCTACAACTCGGGGTCCCTTCGCCTGGTGGGTAAGTTTGACCTACAGAGACAGCTAAACACACACACACACACACACACACACACACACACACTTTGTTTTCATTCCTTGTGGGGACTTTACATTGACTTACATTTTTCCTGTAGACTTATCCTGTCTCCATCTATGACCTGAAATGGTTTCAAGTTCCACTGACTCCTGGATCATGACCTCTAACCTTTCCTTAGTCAATGCTGTGCTGGATTTTGGCCTGGTGTCCACAGACAACCAATATTGCCTGTTTCTAGTGTTGATTCCATCTCTTGTTCTCGACCCTTGCTGCTTTATAAATTTAGAATTCCTCACTGCTCTCGACGTCAAAACGTGGAGGGATTCTCCTGTTTGCCGGGTGCAGTGCTTGAATTCACTGTGGAGGGCATCTTGCAGGTCGAGTTCACCAAAGCGTCTCTGAATTGCACGCACCGGTGCTTAGTCGCTGTGGTTGTCTGGGCTCACCGACAGCCGGAATGACTGTTCTGTCAGTGACAAAGCCAGTGAGCGGCAGTAGCTAGCAATTTGAACTGGGCAAGATATAATCCCCCCCCCTACAGCTGCCCCTACCAGAGAACTTCACCCCTAGGGTAAGGAGAATATGGCACACTGCAGGCCCCATGTGGCCTTCTGGTCAGGTCATCATTGAGGTGGGGCTTGTTCCCCTCTGCTCCTAGCTTTAACTGACCTGCTTGCAGTTCTGGAATTCCCGGCTGGTCAGGTGGTGCTGGCTCTGGGTCCCCGCAAAGCTGGGGTGTTGATTACTGGATGCAGTTCTTCTGGCTTGCGTGGCTTGGAACAATGGCTCCATCAGTGGTCTCATTTTGACAAGATGGCGCCAGTGTGTATGGCTTGCCGTCTACCGCTCCTAATTCTGTTTGTTTTTGTGTTGTATTTATTTTTTATTCTGAATGGAGACTCTCTATTGTTGTATGACCACCAAACTCTACTAATCTTTGACTGGATGTTTCAAACTTAGTGCAGTTTGATGGTCACGGGCACAAGTATCTACCTCCGTTTTTATCAGGAATACCTGCTTACCTTTGCTGCATTCTGGCTTTCCCATTCAGAAGGAGGAGGCAGAGACGTCGGGGCAGGCAAGGTGGACAGCTGGTAAGGCTAAAGGCCTCCTTAATGAGCTTTTCCTCAATTTCTTTGATTCGGTGTGTTTCAACTGCCAGCCTCTGCGCTTCACGGCATTCTCTGGATCCTGTTTGCTCTTCGCTGGTGTCAGTGGTTGGCTCGGATTGGCAGACTGAGTGGCCTTGAAGCTGTTATCTACGTCTATGTCAATGTGGGATTAACTGCTTGAATCTACGGCCACTGAAGCATGCCTCCAGGCTGGCTGCCTGTCTTGCCGGCTCCTATCAAGATTGGCCTGGTTAATAGATCACTGGCAAATAAGGCTTTTTTTTTTTTAAAGGTTTTCTTTACTTCTCGGAACTTGGATTTTCTTTTGGTGACTGAGACCTGGCTAGGTGTGGGTGAGTCCAGTGGTCTTCTTGAACTGCAGCCACCTGACTATACTGTACTTAACTCCCCAAGGCCAATGACTGTTTATAAAATGACTTTTAAATGCAAACAGATTTTATCATTACCTTCCTTCTCCAACTTTGAGTTCTTATTTGAGCTGTGTCACTCTCCAGCCTTATTGTGGGCTGTGATTTATCACCCACCTAAGTTCAGTAAGGATTTTATATGTGACATTTCTGATTTCTTTTTCTGGTAGAGCATAATATTCTTGAGATTTTTCAATCAGGGTTTAAAACCTTGCACAGTACTGAATCAGCATTGGTGAAAGTCTAGTCTCTCGCTTAGAGCACTGGGTCGGTATTCAGGGTATAGCTCTAGAATGGTTTCGGTTTTAATTTAAGGATAGAACGTTTTGTGTGAAACTTGGTGATGCTATGTCTTCTTCTGAGCCCCTTCAGTATGGGGTTCCACAAGGCTCGGTTCTTGGGCCTCTTCTTTTTTCCCTTTACCTCCTCCCACTTGGCTCCATACTTAGGAAACACGTCATCTCCTTTCATTGCTATGCAGATGATAGCCAGCTGTACTTACTGGTTAAAAAGACAAATTCTTGCGTTAGGCCACTGCTTCAATGGTTTGAGGACATTAAATCTTGGCTCGCACTTAATTTTTTGAAGGTGAATAAAGAGAAGACTGAGGTGATGGTGTTTGGTGATACATTGACTTGGGCTTTTTAGCTCAATATAACAAAAAAATATTTCAAACCTGGGGATTAAGATATGGACCCCGATCTAAAATTTGATTGCCAAATTGCAGCTGTCGTAAAATCTAGCTTTTTTTCAACAGCTGGCCAAAGTAAAATCAATGGTCTTTAGATGGCACTTTGAGACACTTATTTATGCTTTTATCACCACCTGACTGGATTACTGCAATGCATTGTATTTGGGCATTAGCGAATCTTCTATCACTCACCTCCAGATGGTCCAAAATGCTGCAGCGTGTCTATTAACAGGTATAGGTAAATATAAGCACATTTCTCCAGTTTTGGTTTCCTTGCACTGGTTATCTGTTTATTTTAGGATTCCCAATAAAATTTTATTTTTTGTTTTAAATCCCTTCATGGCTTTGCACCTTCCTATTTATCTGACTTGCTTCACTGGTATTCACTTATGCGTTCTTTGAGGTCAGCTAATCAGTTACTTTTGAGTGTGCCCAGAACAAAGCACAAGCTTAGGGGTGGTCATGCCTTTGCGGCTGCTACCCCCAAGCTATGGAATGATTTACCACTGTCCATCAGACAAGCCTCTTCTTTGCCTGTTTTTAAGTCCCTTTTGAAAACTCATTTATTCTCATTGGCATTTTGATATTTTATATTGGTATTGATTTTATCTGTATTGATTATCTTATATTGGTGTTGACTTTATCGTACTTGTAAATTGTGTTTATTTTTAATGTATATTCTTATTTACACTGAACAGCACTTTGGTCCACCCTGGCTGTTTTTAGTGCTTTATAAATAAAGTTGGAATTGAATGGAATTTTGGTGGGGCGCCACTGAGCACGTGGTGGCAGGCAATTCTCTGGCAGCTGTGGGGTCTTCTGCTTCAGGCTGCTCTGCCTCTTGCTTCTGTCAGCTCCCATGGCTCTCTCCCATCCCACTTCTGACACTAATGTAAGGTATACTAGCTATACTTGAGGAAGTAGCCAGAGACAGAAGTCACCTTTTTCTTTTTCCCTTTGGCCACCCACCGCAACATAGAACACAGATATACACACACAGAACCCCGCCAAGACCCCGATCTATTTTCATCCCTCCCCGTGGGGCATTATGGGGATTCCACAGGGTGCTTCCCTCCTAAGGCATTCTGGGGGGACCCTGAGAAGTGTCTCTCCACCCCCAATACAACAGTAGTATTTTGGTCATTTTTATTAGGTGAAATCACACCAATATAAGCATCTTTCAACTTTTATACTTTCATATCAACTTTTGTTTTATTTTTTACCATGTCCACATACAGGGAAAAAAAACAACCTAACACAACCAGTAGTCTCATGACAAAATTAATTAAAACTCCCTCTTAGCATTTATTTCCTCTTTGCAGATGTCTTCCTCAAAAATATTGCTTAATCTTGCTTTTAACAAGTCTGGCTAAAGTAAAATAGGAGATCCGCATTTTTAATTGGAATACAGGTATCGATAACAAACATGATGTAATAGAACCTGTTAAAACTACTAATGCATTTGTGGATATATCAGGATCATGTCACATCATGGCATTCATTATTAAACTCTCAGCAATAATGCTTTCTTGTAGAAGTGCCTAATCTAGACCAAATAAAACGAGAATTATTTCAAAAATAAAAAATACACATTAAATAAAACAATAGACCATTAAATAGAGAGTTTTTAGTCTATTGTGTCACTAAGGTGGTACTAATGGCAGATGATTATGGACCATTATATGACAAATAAAATTGTGCACTATTATGCAAGAAAGACACAATGATCTTCAACATGTCCAAAATATACTTGAACTGGTTTATTCACATTAGAAGTTGTCCTTTGTGAAAAAGTCTCCACAGGATCATAAACTCTCAGTGCATTATGATGGCGGGAGCGCTGTGTTTAAAGGGATAGCAAATGTTATCAAGTACGACTATCACATTCACTAATAATTTGTGATAATACTAGTTATTAGTTGATAAAAGTCAGTGTTTCTTAAAAACTAAAGCCATATCCAACTTAGCATTGCTGATGAGGGTGTGTTGGAGAATGTGGTCCCAGAAAATAGATGAGCACTGATCACTGTTCGCTCTGTTGTTTGCAATGTTTCAAAGGACTGCCACACTCTCAATTAAAGATGTTTCCTTAGCAAAAGATTAAACCTATTATAAATCTCTCTCCCCTCTGATTCATGTGATCCCAGTTGCTATAGGCACATTCCCAGAAAAGCCTTTTTCCATTACTTATGCTGGCAAAATAATTAGTCGAGAGGTTTTGCTCAGCCAGCACATTCTCTTCACATGTTGAGCAGCATCCATCATTACCTGATGTACACTACATCGGCTGTCTACTCTGAATTAAATTTGCTTTAGAGAAATGGGACATGGCTGAAGGATTTTTATGATTTCAGAGATAGTGAAATAGAAGCATAGGGGAAGGCCAGAGGGTGCACTCCAAAGACAAGTGGAGATGGGAGGCAGAGAAAGAAGGAAAGGAAAGCATGCAAGGAAGAGCCAAGCCTCATATAATTATATAAAAAGATTGCATCTCATTTTGAAAATAGGGCTGAGGTAAATTAATGTACACCAAACCCAGGGTTGGTATGTTTGAGAATAGCTGACGCCCACATTTCAGTATTTGTGTGAGGGAAATAAATCCATGCCCAAAATGTAGACTAGCAAATGAATAACGAAGATGAATAATGGAAATCTAACCAAAAGATTAAACAGCTCTCAATTTACTTATTTGCTTTTGCATCTGTATTTTTTGGCCTTTTCATTTAGAATGATAAGTCTAGGTTTGTCAAC